TTCAGTAACCAAAAAAAAATACAGAGGACTGTGGTTCACATTCTAATTTGAAAATAGTGACGTGAATTGGCAAAGTGGTTTTAAGAGCTCTCACATGTGATAACCTACTACCTTGTAAAGCAACCTCTAGCCCAAGTCACTGAATATAACTGACCGTTCAAAAAAAAAAATCTTAAGTCACTTTTAAAATTTCTCAATTTCAGAAATATGTTGAAATTGTTCAAAACCCTTTGAATAATATGAGGTTTCCATTATAAAATTATAGTCTCTTAATTTTCCAAGTATTCAATGGAAATGAAGTTCATTTTAAGACCAAACATTTTGCTAGGAAGTGGAAATTTACATATATATATACATATGTGTGTATATATATGTGTGCGTGTATATATACACATATACGTATACGGATATGTATATATACATATGTGTGTATATATATACATATACATATACGGATATGTATATATACACATATATGTATATATATATACTTGAAACTCATGAATGTGAAGATTCCAACTCTTTTTTATGGCCAGTCATTACCAGAATATTTCATTAAGAATTTACAGAATGGCATTCAAAAATGTGTTTCCTGTTGCTTTTAATTATTCGAAAAGATGTGATTGTAGTGTCTTTAATTTAAACCACTATTTATTATTAAGTTATTCTTGGAATATTAGTGTAATCAAAAGAAATATAATCTTGGACATAAGCAGCATTTTTACCTCCTTTCTGCAACCCTTCAATGCCTGCCTCAGAGAATACTTCTTGTAAAGTTCTTCTTATACAAGGCCAAGTTGTAATGATTCTTCAGTCTGATTAAAGACAACATTTGCTACTTACAGGGGGAAAAAAATAATGAAGAGAAAATTGCCTTAGCATTTTAAAAGAATCTGATTTGTCCCCTAAGAATACTTGAAGATCTTCTTGGATCAGAATTATATTTCGTTGAACTGTTTAGCGTTTCTGCATTTCACATGGGCAGCAGGACATTCATTTTACCATCACGAGTTACAAGTTACAATTTACATCTTCAATAAACTTTGACTGTTCTAAGTTGCCAGAGTTTTCAGGTTAACTGTCATTGGTTTTTTTGGGAGTTACACTACATATATAGTATTTCTCATTTTAGCAAAGAGGGCAAGTACGAGGATCACAGGTGGGCTACTTCTACGTACTGAATCTCACTCCACAGATGATGGTCACTGCTCACTGCTTCGTCCTTATTCCTCTTTACTGTTAATTTATGACAACTCAGGGGGAAACAATTAGCAAGCCTAGTTTGATTAAAGGCACACAAAGCTTGAATATTTCTCTGCACTGAAATGAAAGTGGCATAGTTCAACACCACCTGCTATACTCTGTATAGCATTTCATCAGCCATAGAAATAGGACAATCTGTAAACCTTCGGGGAGGGTGGGACAGGAAATGACAGTGTGCATCGAAAAAAGACACCTAAAACAAGGTGGATGTAGCAGATCTCTGTCACTGCTTGAGAAGGACTTTGAGCTTGTGGCAGCTTTGCAGACTTAATGACTTCAGCACTTTACGAAACTTTTACTATGAATGTTCAATACATTTTAATTTATAGCTGATTTCTGAGCAATCTGCTTGCTCTATGTCCATTCTGTTAACTGCATGAAAAAAATGTATGCCGATTTCAGTATGTCAATAATCAAGGTTTTAAATGTTTGGAAGAAAATTAAAACAGGATTGCTGATTTGTTCTGTACTAGGGACATTCTGGTACTTCTAGATTTGCAATAAATGTATAGCTTTTTTATTTAAAGAGACTGGTTAGTGTTTTTATTGACACATCAGCATTCATTATTTGATCCAATTAGAGTTACAAATACAACTCATTCTATGATCACCATTGTATGTGCTACATGAACTAGAAGGAGAAACGGGGTCTCGAAATTCCTTTACAACATGTGTTTGTTATTAGCACCTGGAAGACCTCTCAACCCATATTCATTTCTCTGAAAATATTGAGAATTTAAAATCGATTTAAAATATATATTAATCTTTTAGCTCTACTATAGACAAACATTTCCAAGAACTATTTTTTGAACTTAATCATTTCATCGATGAAAAATATCTGAAAGAAATGATATCACAGTAGCCACAGAGTAATAGCTAAGCCTATCAAAAGTAATAAATGAGAACAGTTCAGACTGTCTATATTCAGCTACACACTAAGAAATGTTCTAATGTTCTAATGTCCTAAGAAATGTTCTACCCTCTAAGTAAGAGCACAGACTGCATGCCAGGACTGGGGAAACTTCCTGTAGAGGTTCAGGTAGTAAATATTTAAGGCTCTGCGGGCCACGTGGGCTCCATCACAAGTACTCAACTCTGCTGAAGTAGTGGAAAAGCAGCCACAGACAATGTGTAAAGAAATGATCCTGGCCGGTTCAATAAATGTTTATTTATGGCCACTGAAATTTGAATTTCATAACATTTTCACGCATCATGAAAAACTGATTCTTTTCAACCATGGAAAAAGCTAAAAACTAGTAGTAGGTTGCAGGCAATAAAGAAAAACTAGGCAATGGGACTGGGTTTGGCCTGTGGACTGTAGCTTCCGGCCCCTCTGCTCTGCGTATCTATGGAACTAGAATGGACAGGTGCCAGCAGTGGCACAACCCTAAGCTAAACAGCCCTGAGCAGTAAGAAGGATCATTGTGGTCAAAGTGATTCTTGGATCACAGGTGCCAAAGATAGGAAAGATCAAACAGCTGAGAGCACATTAATTACCAGTTTTCATTTCCTGTAACTGAAGAGTCTTCTTTAACCTTAATGACTAATAACGTTTGAGTATAAATGTAGACAGTTTCCCTCCCAAAACATAAATTTCCTCCAGTTCCAAAAATGAATTAAAATCATGTGCTCTTTAAGACAAATGCAACCTTCACTGTTACAATGTTTCCAAAACATTAAAGTTCTCAATTAGATACTCCAATGGTATATAATGTAGCCCTTGTGCATCTATTTGCATTTCTTTTAGCTTAATCCATGATGAGTAGATAGAGAAAGGATTCTAAGTCATGGTTCCCATGGCCCAGATTACCACTGAAGTCACCAAGAGGTATTTATTACATTTAGATTTCTGTACTCCTTTTCAAACATTCTAAAACTCATGAAGAAATCACAAGTCCTTATTTTTAAAAGTTTCCACATATAGGGCTCACTAATAGGGACCTAGAATTTAGAAGCCATAGCCTTTAAATTTGTAAGTGGTTACAAACATTACTTTCAATGACCAATTAAAGACAATTCAGGCATGTTATATGGTACAAGGTCACTCCCATAACTATACATGGCATTGAGAACAGAGACCCTGTCCTTGTCTTCAGCTTTGTTTGTGATACAGAGGCTAATATAAGCCAGGGCCACAAGCTCCAGCAGGTGTGCCGGCCACTGCCTTATAAGTAAGGAACGTAGCGGCCCCTGGTGTCCTGTTTCTGTAATGACTCCATCGGCCTGCCGAACGAGAAAAGTGACAAGTTCAAGAACTTGCAACTTCTCTTTTCAGGTGAAAAAAAAAAAAACCCTCTGACATCCAAATCAAAATTACGTCATTGACTATGGATATCCGAAGAGGAAATTGTACAGCAAAATGGATATCCCAGAACCCTTTATCTATAACGGTCTGTTAAATGGAGCCCACCAGAGACTGTTGTTTTCACCAAAGATTATCCAGAGAATCTAATACAAACTGTGGCCGTGCAGTTATATTATTCATGTACCTTTCCAGCAACTCAAGAAATGAACAAGCACACAAACTATCCTAGCAACTGACTCCCCTAGAATTTGGCCAAAACCTTAAGAACCTTCTCTACACTCACGACCTTCGTTCTACACCAGACTTTTCCACCAAGCACTGTACTTATACAGGCCCACGTGACAGCAGATGACTGCCAACCAGGCGTCTCCAACTTAAGAAGTCCTCAGCAGAACTCCTGACCCTCCTCTCCAAACCTGCTCCTCCACAAATCCTCACGGGCTCCACTTCCTAAATGTGTCCAGAACCTGACTGCTCTGGCCGTAAACTACCAGCACCCTGATCCGAACCGATGTCGTCCGAGCCGGATTTCTGTAATAATCTCCGATCTGCTTGACTGCTCCCACTCTTGCTACTCACCCACCCACCCGCCGCACCCTGGCCTTCGTTTCCCGTGTCGAAGCCTTACGACATCTGTTCAAGGCCCAAGTCGGACACGGTCCCATTCGAGCCTAATCCTTGACAGTGGGCTCTTCGTGGAAGGCCGGACGCTATCGCTCTGCGCTCGCACTGGCCGCGCCAGCTGCACTGGCCTCCGCGTTGCTCTTTGAAATCACGAGCCTCGGGCCTTGGCTTTTGTCCTTCCCTTTGCCTGGCACGCCCGTCCCTTGCTGTGGACGCGGTGTTGTGACACTTCAATTTGGTCCCCTCCAGTGTCCCCCCT